TCCCCCTGCTTGTGTTCCCTCTCTCGCTGTGTCTCTCTCTGTCAAATAAATAAAATCTTTAAAAAAAAAAAAAAAGATCTGATAAAGCTTAGAATGTTAGAAGTCTACCGTAAAACTCCTGGCTAACTAGTGTGCAAAAATAAGGCAAATGCAACCAGATCAATTCCACTGCTCAGCACAATTCCCCTTTTTTCTATCTGAATGTTATAGTCAGTTTCTTTAATAGTATAAAGCTATACAGGGAAAATGCTCCCCCAGGTAAAGTTCACCACTCACATACACTTCAGCATTTTATCAGAGCACATATGATATCTGCTGAGGTTCTTTCTTTACCATACTCTTGTCCCACTAGACCCTGAGCTTGTTAAAAGTAGAGGCCATATCTCTAATTTGTTCTTAAGCTCTTTCTATCTTCTAGGTGCTCGGAATTATGCCAGGTGCTGGAAACAAGGTGGAACAGAGGTCTCTGCTCTATACAACTTAGCACCTCTCCTGTCGGGAACTGAGGTTTACCACTGAACTTCACGGGCGTGTAGGAGTAGAGGGTGGATGAATTGCTTCAGGGTGGGGTGGCAGAAGTACTGTAGACAGAGGGAACCATGTGTGCTAAGAATCAAATGAAAGACAGCATAGCACTTTAGAAAAAAATACAAAAAGTTCAATACGTTAGAACATGCAGTGTGAGTGCCCACAAAGAAGCTAGACTATGAATGTCCTGATAAATCTGATTAAGGAGTTTGGACTTTATCCTGAGAACAACGGAAACTCACTTAAGAGTTTTAAACAGGAGTGATATGCTCATACTTACATTTTTATTAAGGGAGTGGACAACGGAATAGAGAAAAGGCTGGATGCAAGGCGACCAGTTTACAAGTTGTGACATTAGTCTAATTGAGAGGTAATGGTAGCCTGAAGAGGATAATGGAATGAAAGAAGTGGATGTACTCAAGTGATGCTAAGGAAGTACATATGGTACCACTTCCTGATCGACTAGATGTGCAGATGATAGGGGAGTAGTCATGGAAGGTTCCCAGGTATTAAGGCTTCAGGAAGTGAGGGGATGGCTGTCCTTACTAGGAGAACACTAAAGGAGGAGTTGGTTACTGGGTAGGGATGAAACGGATCAGGGTAGAGACAAGTTAAGCTTTGATCCTGCTACATTCAAAGTGGTTTTAACAAACAAAACCAAAAACAAGATGTCTTAGACATCTTTTCAGCTGTGGTCAAAGAGGAAGTTCTCCAGTTCACAGACTGGAAGCCAAGAGTACACATAAGAATACCAAGTGAGAAGTACATGAGAAGACCAGAAGGCCACTGTTGAGCCCAGAACCATACACGGTTAAGTGTGAGTACATGTCAACTTCCACGGGTTGCTTTTACATGGAGAACGTAATCAGGCAGCAGAGCTTAGTGATGAAGAGTACAGATTCTGGAGACAGAATGCCTGATTCAAACCCTACCACTTACTAGCTGTACACTTTGAGCAAATTCCTTAATCTCTCCCCTTATCTGTAAAATTATCTACAGATAACTTCCTTATCTACAAATAGGGATAAGAGTCCTTGCTGCAGAGCATTACTCACAAAGATGAACTGAAATAGTACACCTAAAGGACCCACCATGGTGTCTGCCACGTAAGGTAATAGGCCTTCAAGAGATGACACTGCGACTATCACAGGAGCTCCTGCTCTGAAAGCGCAGGAAATGGACGCTCCTTCCTGCCTGTGCAAAGAACTCATACTAATTTGAAAACTATTTTCAGTAAGTTATGAAAGGCAAAATTAATTTCAAACTGTTTGGCACCAGGTAAATGTCATTCACCATCCTGGTAATCACTGACCAGAAGAGGCATACTTTGATTTGTCTATGTTTATAAGAAACGATCTTTAGTACAAAAAAGCAAAGTCTCTTTAGCAACCACCTCAGAGGGGTCATTTTAACTACAGAGTCTGAAAAACGGCTCTCCTATGCACTGCTACTAGATTCAGGTTTGCTTGAGAAAAATAGTACCTGTAAAATAGCAGTTTGTAAATCTGAATTTCAAATTAAAATAGAATA